ACACACTAAAAGTAGCATAAAATACATTATTTTTCCTCTCCCCCTTTTAATTTCACAAAAACCCTGCACAGTGTGTTTAGGCTGACAGATAGTAACGGGACCAAAGTCATCCAACATGTTTCATAGCAAAATAAATACTAGCTCTAGCCCAATATTTTAACCACTACATATCATACATTTCATCACTCACTATATTTATCTCTGGATCAAATCACACATTAAGGGAAATGCATACTTCCTGCTATTACATTTCCCCCCAGACATGCAGCAGCTTAAGTATTCACTGCCTGTGCAATCAGACTTGCAAATGAAGCCTCTATTTACCTCCCAGTGATTAATCATAAAACAAAAGCAAGCTAATTTGAAAAATGCAGACAATGTCCACAAAGAAAACATTTATTTTTTTTAATTCCAGTTTTCTTCAGGGGTGCCTCTTTTGTTTTTTTGGGGGGGTTGTATACTAGTCCTTTCATTTTTTTTTAAAAAAAAAGGACCCCTTCTCTCAGATCATTTTGTTTCATTCATCATTTGTGTTTTCTGGTGCTAGTCCAAAAAACCCATAGAAAACCTATAAAAACCACCCCCAAAAAGCAGAGGCAACAGAGAATCAATCTGCTCCAAAAGTATGCAAATAGCAAAATAAAGTGGACACAGCTACTTCATCCAAAAAAGCATGAAAGCAAATAAAGGCAAAAAATACAATTAAACCCCCATGCCAAAATGGCTAGAATATAGGGAGATTTCTCTCCTTTCACCATACCATATCTCCTCTTGAATCTCTTCTCTTCCAGTGTAGCAACAGAAATGCAGCAAAAATAATCTAGGAAATGAAAGGACCAAAGAAGAGGGACGCCTCAAAGAATCCAAAAAAGCATGAAAGCAAATAAAGGCAAAAAATACAATTAAACCCCCATGCCAAAATGGCTAGAATATAGGGAGATTTCTCTCCTTTCACCATACCATATCTCCTCTTGAATCTCTTCTCTTCCAGTGTAGCAACAGAAATGCAGCAAAAATAATCTAGGAAATGAAAGGACCAAAGAAGAGGGACGCCTCAAAGAAACGGGGGGGGGGTGGTTTAAAAACACACAACCCTGTGGAGATATAATTGCACACATAGGATGCTAATGGCAGCAGTAAAAAATAAAAGAAAATAAAAAATTTAAAAATCCTAAGAAATGGCAGGAACCCTCTATAAAAATCAAGGGAAAATGAAGGAGCAAGACAGAGGGACACAGGCAGCACAAGATGGGGGCACTAGGACCCTGTACATCTACAAGGAATGAGCAAAACAAAAGAAGAGCACTCCCACTGCAGTCGAACCAATCCTGACCCTTTTATTACTTCAAATTTCCCATTCCCCTGGACATTCTGGTTGGCTGCTGGCTGCAGCTCTTAAGACGTTGTGGGATAAAACATTTCCTGGGTCATTTGACAAAGGGTGACAGAAAGGTTAAATGAAAAAGGGCATCGCAAAAGAACACAGAACTTTTGTCTTCCCCTCTTTCATTAATATGAATGATATGTTTTAAAGGATTTCTTTCAAGAATCACTAAAAGCACACAAAAACATAAAAGAACCTCTTTCATGTTTTTCTACTTTCATTTAAACATCAAAGTCCGATCCCTAATGCAGATCTGAGGAAAACTTATTCAAGGATAAACAGATCTCCTTTTTCTCTTTTACCTTTTAAGGGAAGTCAGCTTGTAAAGACATACCAACAAGATCACCCTATTTCAACTTCTGTCCTTACACCCGCATAGGCTTATCCTCCACCCCCATCCAACCTATCATGAGGTAGAAACAAATCTTAGAAATCACTGAGATCAGCCCTGACAAAAATTTCTGAAGAAGGTTAAAACCAGTCACTCTATCTAACATTTAGACAGAAGATTTGTGAGACATACAGATACTGCAGCTGCGAATTCTGGAACCAAAACCAGTTAATACTCTAATCTGCGCCTTCTAAGTCTGTTGCAGCATCACCTGGCATCTGGCTTTGTCTCAGGATAGGGAATGACCTTTGCAGCTTCACTTCTCCCAAAACCTTGGGAAAAGGTGTAAGACAAATGGTGAGCCAGAGAATAATGAGAGGGTAAGCACGAAATGCCAGAATATTTCTCTGTTTCCGTCATATATATTTTCTTTATTAATTGATCTATCGACATACTATTTATCCATTTACTTCAGGAAAAGGTTATATTTCTGGACAGTTAAGACAGCACAGCAGCAGTAGACCAACCTGATAATAGACATGATGGGAAATCTCACATTCTAATTCAGGAGCCGATCTGCCTTCGTTAGAGGCATCTGAACTACACTGAAGCCCATAAGTTACAGAGTAGGTCAGAACAGCATTTCAACCGTACGCCATTCCTGGGAGACTGCTCTGGATGACAGCTGCTTAAATGAGACCACCATGAACTTCCATTTCTCATGTGTTCTTAACAGCCTCCTTGGGAGCCTCCTACTATTCTCATTTTGAAGACTAGAAGGTTAAGGTGGGAATGGAACCTTAGCCAAGAAACAAAAGAAACATGGCTAAGTGAATCCAGGCAAATTCTACTGCCGGCAAGTGGGATTCTAGTAGTGTTTTAACTCCTCTTGATCGCCTATGAGTGTGGAGGCAGCAGCTTGTGAAACACAGTCTTCCAAATTAATGCATGCTGGCTTAGATACAAGTGCTGTCACATGGACTAGCAGACAATAAACAACAGCTAATGATCAACAGAAGTGAACTCTGGGGTGGGTGAGCAGGAGCCTTGTCTTAAGGAAACATGCAAGGGGGAGAAGGGGCAATGCAGACTACCTCTGTAAACGGAGCTTGCACCCACAAGGATCTGTCAACAAAGTGTCGCCTTTGTTTAAGCTTGCTTTTTTAAAAAAAAAACAGGGGGACACTTGAAGCAGAGTCCTCAGGAAGAGTGACAGCTAGCAAAGATGCAGTGTGTCATCTGATCCAATTCAAAAGGCACGAGCCATCTCTGCAGATCCCCTTTTTCAGCTAGTCCAGTCCAAAGGAAAGCACAATGGTACTCTAAACATGTGCAAGAATGCAACATGCGAGGTCTAGTGAGGGACAAGTCTCCCATGGCTTGCCTCAGCTTTGCCTCAAAACTAAACCAAGCTACATCTCACAAAAATTAGGATGTGCTTTGTGTTATTTGCTTGCCAAAGCTGAATCCCTTTGCCCAGGGGAGCCACTCTCTCTTTCCTTTCCTTTCATCCTTACCTGCCCATTTAGAATGGCAACAGCACCACAGGTGGGGGAGTGAGGAAGGGGGAATCTTGTTGTTGTTTAGCCGTTTAGTCGTGTCCGACTCTTCGTGACCCCATTGACCAGAGCACGCCAGGCCCTCCTGTCTTCCACTGCCTCCCGGAGTTGGGTCAAATTCATGTTGGTAGCTTGGATGACACTGTCCAACCATCTCGTCCTCTGCTATCCCCTTCTCCTCTCGCCTTCACACTTTCCCAACATCAGGGTCTTTTCCAGGGAGATTTCTGTCACTGTGATTTCTGTCACTGCCTCCATATTTTCCCCTTCTATTTGCCAGGAGGTGATGGGGCCAGTGGCCATGATCTTAGTTTGTTTGATGTTGAGCTTCAGACCATTTTTTTGCGCTCTCCTCTTTCACCTTCAGTAAGAGGTTCTTTAAGTCCTCCTCACTTTCTGCCATCAGAGTGGTAACATCTGCATATCTGAGGTTGTTGATATTTCTTCCGGCAATCTTAACTCCGGTTTAGGATTCATCCAGTCCTGCCTTTTGCATGATGTATTCTGCATACAAGTTAAATAAGCAGGGAGACAATATACAGCCTTGTCATACTCCTTTCCAAATTTTGAACCAATCAGTTGTTCCATATCCAGTTCTAACCGTTGCTTCCTGTCCCACATACAGACTTCTCAGGAGATATATAAGGTGGTCAGGGACTCCCATCTCTTTAAGGACTTGTCATAGTTTGCTGTGGTCCACACAGTCAAAGGCTTTTGCGTAGTCAATGAAGCAGAAGATGTTTTTTCTGGAACTCTCTGGCTTTCTCCATAATCCAGCGCATATTAGCAATTTGGTCTCTAATTCTTCTTGTAGCCTACCTTGTGGGGGGGGGGGAATCTAAGGATTGGTAAACTAGTAATTCTTCCCCTGTTTGGATTTCAATTGAGGGAGTCCTCCTTTCACCAGAGTATTATGGAACTAATATCCAAGCCCTGACCTGAAACTGTGGACACCACCACTTTCTCCAAAGGGGAAGGCCAGCTTTGCAACCAGATCATCAGCATCCTCCTAAGGCCATCCAAACATCTGCTTGATTAACAGATCTTGTTCCCCCTTCACCTGACAACCCCCTTGCCTTACAGTTCAAAGGCACCTCACAATCTCTCCACGTATGCCACAGGGCACCCCCTCCAGCAGGGTGGGTGGAACAGGCTGCCTTCAGCAGCGCACATGATGGCATAATAGCAGGAAAAGCCAGTCAACAGCCCGTCATTACGTTACTTGAGCCTTGCATTCCGGATCGCCTGCCCAAGGCAACATGTTCCGGACCGGCCCTGCCTCTCGTGCCTCGCCCGAAAAGGCTGAAGCGCTTGCAAAAACGTTCGCCGGGCATCCCCTCGGAAGCACACGCTCGCCAAGGAGGCGCCCCCTGATCCCGGCCGGAGTCAGCCCGGGCGCCTCGCTTCCTCCCGCGCAAACGGGAAAGCCAAGCGGAGCCCGAGGGCACGGCAGGCTTGACTTGGCAGGACGTTCCCACTCCTTCAAGCGGACTTGCTTCCAAGTAAGCTTCGCCGCTCGGCAAGTCCCTCGGGCCAAGCCGGTGCCCGCGCCCTTCTCCGACGCCCACCGACGGGTTCCCGGGGCAAAACGGCCCGAGGCGCCTGCGTGGCGGCCCCTGGCAGGCAGGTAGCGAGGCGGCCTTCTTTGGCCGAGCCACAGATCCGCGAGCGAAGCCGCCTCGCCGCCCGAGAGCAGCCCCGACGGAAACTTTTCCCCCTGACTCACCGCCGGCCCAGGGGCTCTCCGGCTCGGCGGCTGCAAGGGCGGCGCGCGGAAGGGGAGGGAAGGGAAGGGAGCCAGCCGGGAGGAGAAGGGCGAGCGAGCGCAGCCCGGCGGGGCTGAGCCTCCGGGGGAGCGACTCGCTGGCGCAGAGCCGCGGAGAGGGAGGCCGGGCAGGGCGTGGAGAAAAAGCGGCGGCAGAGAGGACGAGGAGCGGGCCGGGCCGGGACCGTCTCCGGCTTCGCCAGAGCCACGGGGGCGGAGGGGCGGGGAAGGAAGGCAGCGGGGGAGGAAAGTTTGGGTCGCCTGGTGAGGAAGAGCGCCGCGCCCGCCCGCCCGCCGGCCGGGGAGAAGGAGGCGCGCTAC